CTCGGCACCACTTCAAAGCGATCTGCACGCCTGGCGAGCAGCACCGCGAGATGACCGTGAAGGTCAACAGCTGCACGGCGCGAAACTCTGCTCGTAAGTCGGCGTGGTGCTCCTCCAGCGTCGCCACGGTCCCTCGGGCGAAGCCGATCAGCCCGGCCATCTCCAGCTGGGGCTCGATAGCTTCCTTCCAGGTGAGAATGTCTGGTCGACCAACGAGCGGCGGGGTGACCAAGATCCGGTCCGGCGTGAACTTGAAGTAGTCGTAGCTCGGTGCAATCCCGCCCGCCGTCACCTGGGTAGCCGACATCGGCGACAATCCGCTTCGTCGTCCTCCGACGTCGCCTTGTGAGGTGCCTGCAGCCGCCGTCGACCGCATCCCTCGCGTCTGAACGCCGCCGACTTTATCGGCGTGTATCACACCTCTCTGCCTCGACGTGCCTCCCACACAGCTGCCGACCTGGTCACCACCGGCGTTGACGCCCACGTCGACGCCGACCTCTGTGTTCACCGGTCGAGGAGACGCCGGTCGAGAAGGGGGATGCTCCGACGCCCACATGGTGCGGAGTCCAGCCTCGACGACCGCCCAGGGTATCGCCCCATACTCCTGGGCCTCATGGCGTCTCCTCGCATCCTCCAGCCGTCCCTCCAGGGTGTCCATCACCTTGGCGTCACCTACGCGCACGCTAGGGACTGCACGGCTGCCGGCCTACGAACAACTTAGGTAAGTGACCTCTACGTCGACCTGACTGAAAGGTAAGTCGTGTGCCGTCCACGCTTACCGCACCATGCGAAGATAACTACTACAACGGGAGCTAGACCATGGGCTAGGCACGGGTGCTTGTGTGATCTCTGCGTTCGTTGGTCCTTAGTCGTTTTCCTAGTGCACACACAGCTTGCTAGTTCACGGGGAGAATTGGCAAGAGTTTCACAAGAGAAAGTTGACAACAATGGTACAATGAAGTTGGCATGGCAAGACTACATCAGAGCTAGCATTCAGGTCGGTCGACTGCCAGCACAGCATGGTCGACCGTGTTCCAGCACGACTTGGTCGACCGCGTTCCAGCACGACTTGGTCGACCGCGCTCCAGCAGTGCAAAGTCGACAGCGTGCCAACGCTGCAGGTTGACGGCGTGCCAGCGTTGCTCCCGCAGAACAGCAGCGCACCTACTTCGCAGGTGCTTGCAGATGATTGGAGGGCTAAGCCTTGTCACCTGCACAACGCACACACCGTGTCATCCTCGTGCTGACGACTCCACCTGATCCGCCACGTCGACCTCGGGATACCACCACCGAGGTCAGTCTCGCCAACATCGCATGGGCGACCGTCGCACTCTTCCGCAGAACATCGTCACCCAGGTAACCTGGTCGACCGGGCAACCACGTCGACCAGGTGCTCCTGTATGTGCCCGTCGACCTCCCAAATCGACGGCCACCTCCAATCGACCTCACCAGGTCGACCACACCCCTGGTCGACCAGCTCCAGGTCGACGTCACTCCTGGTCGACCAGCTCCACGTCGACCAGCACAGTCGTCAGTCGACCACCCAAGTCGGTTACCCGAAGTCGGCGTCACCAAGTCGACGCCCTCCGCAGGTCGGCTTCCCAGGTCGACCTCCCTGAAGTCGGCGCCAACTTCCGGGCCGACCTCTTGAAGTCGGCGACCTCCCAAGTCGGCGACCTCCCAAGTCGGCGACCTCCCAAGTCGGTGACCTTGCAAGTCGGTAACCTTGCAAGTCGGTGACCTGGCAAGTCGGCGCCGACTTCCAGGTCGACGTGCCACATCGCCGACCACCAGTTGAAGTCTTCCGCCGGCTTCCCAAGTCGGCGGCATTGCAGTGGCCCCGTGCAAGTCGACCAACCCCGTCGACCAGCTCGCCCAAGTCGGCGTCGCCCACTGCTGCAAGTCGGCTGTACCTTCCGTACACCCCACCACGAAGTCGGCTCCGCCCAAGCGTGGACGGGGCCAACACACAACTCCCGTTGACAATAACACCTAGTATTAGAGAAACTTTCCCATTTCATCTCGATTTTGAAGGATTGGGTTGAAGGCACAGGTGTGATTGGAAAGACGAGTTGCAATGCGCTTGGCTGCTAAGTTATTAAATTAAACTCACCCGACTCCGATAGCTATCGAGCTCGCGATGTTGCCGGATAGTCACAGATACCCCCTTGCCATCTAGACATAGCTTTTGAGTTATGGATGAGGCGGCTTTTGATCGGCTCATGCAACAAAAGGCGGAGATGCTGAGTAGCATGAAGGCATCAACAACGGAAGTGGAAGTTCTTTACAAGAAGAAAACTACCATACACGGCAGGGGTGAGGAGAAGGGCGCTTGTAGTAAACCGTTGAAGATGGCGAAGCCACATGTCAAGTGGTGAGCGGCGTTGATGCAACAAGCGAGCTGTCTCGCGGTGTCGAGGATGGCGATAAGGGGACATCACCGGCAACAGCGACTGCAGTTACTACAATCAAGATAAATACCGCGTTCACGCCCTCGTTCAACCCTATGAATTGCGAACGTTGGCAGTGACGTCACGCGTATTAATCTTAAAATTGGATTGGAACAAGTATCGTGAGGATTGTTGGAGAGTATTGGGCACATGGATCCTAAACAAAATCTTGTACCCTTTAAAGGGCAATTCTCCAAAGCCTATGACAAATAACCATATATAATCGATATAAACTTTTGCCAAGTAATTAACTTATTTGTGTCTCCATGGAATCGCACACGAGCGGTGGCGACGTACACTTCATTGTAATAATCGGGTTGGATTTCATTGTTTCGACATTTCTTGTTTTCAATAGCGTCAATATTCCATTTTCGCGCAACAATGTTTGGAAAATCAAAACAATGCCACTACATTTAGTGCACCTCGAGTTATATCACATTTGATTAGTACAGCATTATACATTTGCACATAAACCCGATGCTTCTAGGGCACTAATTATATCCATAAAAGCTACAACAGAAGCGGGCAGTTACAACTGAGGGCTATTGGATCGGATATGTATTAATAAAGTTGCCAAAACATTACCTGCTTTTAGCATGATGAGTAGTACATGTACCAATTTACTCTCCCCCAACCACATAGGTTTCAGGAGAGCGTCACACAGTATCGAGAGTTGCAATCTTAGATTCTCGTTTCCAGGCACTTGCCCTCCAGCCACGTCAGCCCCACCCACCTGAACATTGTTCAGTGCAAGATGCTGCAATGTACAAACACACCACAGCCAACATTTGCAGGTATCTTTCGCGGGCCCGAAATTTTGTGACGTAGCGTCGGTGAGCGTCAGTGAGTGTCGGCATGATGGCGTTTTCCTACGTCCCACTCAATACCAGTAGCCTTCCCTCGCTCCTTCCACAGTTTGATCGAAACCAGGCGGCCCACTCAACTCAAGCAGCCCTGCTCAGCGCGACAGGATACCAAGATGCATGGTTACTTGCTCATTCAGTGGGAATCCCTTGTGCAAGATCCCAAGATTTTCGGCAACCCTGGAGTTTCACAACGAGGCAGCATCGTGAAGAATGGCGAGATCTGGTCGCCCAGAGAATGAGTCCTGGTGGCCCACCGGTCAGCCCTTTCGTACGTGGCCGGGACCACCGCCAGCACGACACGCACGCAGCCAGGAGCACGTATGCCGTAACAGGGCTGTCGATCGATACCCTAGGTTCCTCTGTCGCGTCAGGCTCCGCCAGGCTGGTTCAGGACGCAATTCACGTCGACAAATGCTGCCCGTTGGCTTGCTGGAAACGGCCCATGCAGCCAAGGACTGTCGAGCGCTCATTACTAGGATGGTTGTTTCCGCGAACCCCGCCGTTCGTGAATGCTGGCAGCGGGAGGGGAGCGAGAAGGCTTCAGAAACGGGATGAGAAACAGCGACGCCCCAATTGACGCTGGTGACACCAGCTATCCGTCAGCATTCAAGCACAGTGGAGTTCCCGAGAAGGAGCCACAAGGTCCAAACTGCTCGTCCCTACGGGTTTCCCCCCACTGCCATAAAACACGGCTCCTCTCCGGCAGCCCTACCTGGGAATCCTAGCGTCCGCTCAAGTTGGATTTGCGAGAGTGCTAGCTACCGAGTTGGCTAACGTGGTCTGCTGGGAACCGCGTCGATGAACGCTATGTGATGAGACAGCCACGCTCGAGCAGGAGTACCCAGAGATATTTTGGCTCTGAATGTTCCACCGTACGCGATAGAAGGTTGGTGCTACTGGTTTGCTGCTGGTGCTTTCTGTACCTCGTTGCAAGTTGTGCTAAAAAATAGCATATTGCAAACGACTTTATATATAGGTACCAGTGTAACTAACCAGCTAGATACAGAAATCAAGTGAGGCAAATGAGCTTTAAAGCTTTCGTATACATTTGCAAGTACTGTTTGGACTTGCACTGTAGCCAGGGAAAAATTCGCCAGAACGAAACAACTGAGCGTGGCGAGAGGTTTGGCGAAAAATTGCAGCTTTGAGGAGTTCCAAACACAGGAAACTCCCCCGTCACCCAACCTTGGAGTCAGATTTCACTAGGAACCATGATATGTGACTAACATACGCTAAGCATAGATAGAGGAACCGGGGCGCGACAAAGAACATGCGGAGCATCGACACCGCTCAGATATTCTCATGTGAGATGAGTTTAGGTAACATTATAGGCTTGTGCGAGTGGGAAAATACATCTAGCTTGCTCCTTTCCACTGCTGCGCCGTTCAGCGGCAATCGGAGAGGGAAAGGCTCTGCATTCGTCGAGCGCGTCGTGCTGCATTGATGGGCCCCGTCGAAGCCCTGTCAAGGGCGCCTCGACGGGTTGCATCACCACGCTGGGTAGGTGCGATCGAGTAAGCCGATTGAAAATTACGGAGCCTTTCCCGCTTAGCGCCTGACCCGCTGCGCGCCTCTCCCGCTTAGCTCCGCAACCGCTGCGCGCCTCTCCCGCGCAACGAATCACTCGCTGCGCGCCTCTCTCATTTCGCGCCTCACCCCCTGTGCGCCTTTCCCGCGTGTCGCCTCACCCTCTCCCGCTTAGCGCCGCACCCGCTGCGCGCCTTTCCCGCTTAGCGCCCGCATAGCGCCTCTCCCGCTAAGCACATCCTCTTCTAATTACCCCCCCTCCCCCCTTCTCCCCCTCACAACCCCCCCTACTCCCTCTCCACTTGCCTCCCTTCTCCCCCTCATTTCCCCCCCTTCTCCCCCTATTTTTCCCCCCTTCTCTCCCTCATTTTCCCCCCTTCTCTCCCTCATTTTCCCCCCTTCTCCCTCTCAGTTCTAACCCTTCTCCCCCTCATTCCCCCCATTCTTCCCCTCATTTCCCAGCCTTCTCCTCCTCATTCCCCCCATTCTTCCCCCTCATTCCCCCCCTTTTCTCCCTCAACCCCCCCCCCCTTCTCGCCCTCATTTCCCCCCCTTCTCCCTCTCACTTCCCCCACTGCTCCCCCTCATTTCCCCTCCTGCTCCTTCTCACTTCCCCCACTGCTCCCCTCAAAGGGGAATTGGGGAGGCGAGAAGGGGTAATGGGGAGCGGGAAGGGGAATTGGGGAGGCGGGAAGGGGTAATGGGGAGCGGGAAGGGGAATTGGGGAGGCGGGAAAGGGTAATGGGGAGCGGGAAGGGGAAACGAGGAGGCGGGAAGGGATAATGGGGAGCGAGAAGAGGAAATGGGGTGGCGGGAAGGGGAATTGCAGAGGCAGGAAGGGGTAATGGGGAGCGGGAAGGGGAAACGAGGAGGCGCGAAGGGGTAATGGGGAGCGGGAAGAGGAAATGGGGTGTCGGGAAGGGGAATTGGGGAGGCGGGAAGGGGAAACGGGGAGGCGGGAAGAGGTAATGGGGAGCAATCGTTTCTGATTACCCTCGCGACACCTCAATTGCGGCTGCCGCCGCTACTGCGGAAACGTGGTAGCGAGGTCGCGCGATCGGGAAGCGACTGTGATCGTGCGTGTTCGGCAGTTTGAGACGCAGCGTGCGCGTTCATGGTGGCGTGAGGAGGCCGCGTGGTGAGGCAACGCGACGGACGACGAGGCGAGGCTGTGAGAAGGGGTCCGGCGGGCTCGCCGTGTTAGAGGGCGGAACTGACGTTGGCTCGGACGTGTAATTACACTAAACTGCCCCACGCGTCTAAGTTTGTGTCGGAAACGGGAGTGATTTGCGCTGGCTGTTGTCGCGATGTGCTTTGCTACGATTTATGCTGCCTGTTGAGCGTAGTGGCGTAGATCTCACATGGACTGGATTTCGTATACTTTTGTTATTCCAAAAGTTTTGAATCACCAGTGAGCCCTGGGTGACGGGGAGATCACCTCCCTTGTGAAGCGAGTGAAACTAGCTGTTTCTGGGTTACCAATATTTCAAATTTCAAAACTTTTGAACCTCCCTTTTTCAAATGTATACGAAAGCTTTAACAACAGTGCAATTTTGACACGACATGTTCGAGGGGCCCATTGCTCACCGGCGCTCCCTTCCTCTCCCAGAAGAAGGAGTGGTCCACTACACAGTAGAGCGCCAGGGCGGGGTAGTCCTGCCGCAGTGCAACCAGTGTGGCGGCGTCACATGCCTTGCGAGAGGGGAAGAAGAGGAACTGCAGGTTCGGAGCACACAGGGTGGGAGGCTTGGCACATGCCTTCTTGTTCTTGTTCTGCTGAACCTCGTGCCTGCTTCCACTGGGGGCAGCATCACCAGTGTCCCAATCATAGCCATCCTCCTCCTTATCCTCTTCGTCGTAAAAATCGTAAAAGTCGTGGTCATCCGTGAGGAACCTATAGTTATCCACAGTGGCAATTCTGTCCAATCCATGTGTCCCCTTGGTGTGCACAACAATTCCAAGGCTGCGCAGGCTGCTCCAGTCTGCATACGCCTTCTGTATCGGCACCCCGTGCCTCACTATAAGCACCTCCACTGTTGGCGCTATAGTGCGAAGCCATTTGGTCCAGAACTCGTTCTCATAGTCACGTTCGGGCCCGCCCAAGTAAGCCACGCGGGCAGACGCGAGGCAGAGGGAGGAGATGTCGAGCCGCTCCCGACCGTACAGCGAGAGGTGGTCGAGGGTGAGAGGGGCGGTGGTTTTGCAGGAGAGCACGAGCCGTTCGGCCATCACTGAGAGATTCTTGAGCGCAGGCGAAACGGTGAGGGTGAGCTTGAGCTCGCTGCTGGCAAAGCGGAAGCGGAGGAGGCGGGCATTGGAGAAGGAGAAGGCGAGAGTGTGGGAGGCAAGGCAGGGGCCAAAAATCAGGTCATTATCCTCGTAAAGAGTGAACTCGTGCAGCTGCGGCGAGATGGAGTCCAAAAACTGGAAGCTCACATTCTTGAACGTCACACTCTCCAAAGTCAGACTGCGGACAGACTTGAGCCATGCAGCATCTGCGCACTCCCTGTTCAGAACCCACATGCCCCGCCCCAGATTCAGCTCCCGCAGCTGGTCTCAAGTCCCGAGAAATCCCAACGTCCAGTGCTCGTTCTGCTGCTCCTTGAAAAGGTCAACCATGCCTTGCAGCTCCAGACGGAGGGACGAGAGGGAGGGGCTGCAGCAAGCGATGCAGGCGCCAAGGGTAGGCAGTTGGTCGGGATCGGAGAAGCGGAGGTCTAGCGAGTGGGGGCCCGCGCGGGTGAGGAAGAAGCGGATGGTCTGCATCCACTGTGAGCGCTGGGCGTTGTACATGAGCGAGATGGGCTGGCCCTCCTGCGATTACAATTGGGTGAACAAGAGAATATGAATGAAAGATGAAAGCTGGATGCAAGCTCAAGCTGAAGGCTGACACTCACGGGTGGACTGCACCGCACCGATGGCTAACGTGAAAGCTTTTTTTTTTTTTTTTTTTGGAATGAGCAAATGGCAAGATCTGCCCAGTGAAACTGACACGCGAGAATTGTGAAGGAGACACAAGTAGCGAGAACGAGCGCTTACGGAGAAGGCGATGACGAGATTGAGAAGACTCTTGCTGGCGAGAGCGCAGCAGAGCAGAGGCCACGAGGCACCAAAGGTGTGCGCGTTCCTCTCGTACTGCTGGCAGGCAGTAAGTCCCTTCTTAGTGCCGCCCCCGTCTGTTCTGCCCTCGTTTGAGCCGACCTCGTCAGTGCTGCCCTCGTCAGTATTGCCCTCGTCAGTGCCGCCCTCCCCGCCCTCCTCAGTGCCACCCTCCTCGGTGCCACCCTCGCACCGGAAATCCAGTGGCTTGCAATCAAGATCGACTGTGGTGAGATTGTCGGTGAGTTGGTCGCTGGTTCCTCTCCTCTGTGTGCTGCTAGCAGAGTCGCCCAACTGCTCACTGCCAGGGGGCACGTAGATGCTGAACAACTCCAGATCACGGGGGGGCGGCTGCTTTATCGACGACGCAAGCCCGTGGGGAGTGTGCTTTAGGCCGCGGAAAGCAGGGTCGTTTGGGTGGGAGGGCGGCAGGTGCAGACGGTGGAAGATTCAAAACCAGAGAGGCGCTGGCAGCATGTCGATTGCATCAGGGGAGGAGCTAGCTGAGGGATTACACCGGGAGTGCGGGGGAGTGGGGAGAGATGCAGGGGGAAGAGGGGAGGATATTAAATGGGACTGGAAAAATGGGCTTGATTCACCGTAATTAAGGAAAAATGGTGGAGAAGGAAATCCGGCAAGCACGAACCTGAGGCCTCCATGTCGTCAGCGCGAGATTCGGTTGCAAGGAGTGAGTGAACCTTCACTGTGATCAACTCCAAACCTTACAAGTGAAATCCCCACGCACTGTCCACAGTTTCCAAAGGTTCATACGGCCAACGGAGCAGTGCTAAATCAATACTGCTCATTCGGCCACTGTCCCAAGCCACTTGGTTTCACTCACGTCCGGAAATGCTTGGAAACAGCGCATGCAGACAGAGTTTATCCACCTTGCTCCCTCCAATCTGGCCTTGAATTCGCCAGCCATGCTGGCGGGGTTATGTTTCCTTGCGGAGCTCTCGTATGCGTCAATACGAGGCATGCATGCAGCTGGAGTTATCCCAATGTGAGCCATAAGAGCAGGAAAAGTTCGACATATGCGATAAGAAGGCTGGGTGTGCCGGCTGCATTGACACCAAATAAGGGTGTTGAGACGTCTGCACATTCCGCATTTGTTTGGACGTTCAACTCTCAGCACCGTACTACAGCTTACAGCAACACAAATACGCAATGTGTGTGTGCACGGGCCCTCACACACACACACACACACACACACACACACACACACACACACATACATAGACATGAGCATCAACAACTCTGCTCTCCACACAACCGTCCACTCCTCCCCTCTTTGTCAACTTGCTCCATTCCACCATCCTTGCTTGTTCTTCTCCCTTGCCACCTCCTTCACACTCTACGCACTTCCCCCGCCCCCGCCCACAGGTGAGCGAGTACATGAAGGACCGCATTCTTGCTCTCAGACAGCAACACTCCTCCCAGGTGTCGCCTCCAAGGTATCCGCCTCCCTTATGAGAATTCTCAAGAGTCATTCTGCCTCTCCCTCCCGTCCGCTCCCCTCCTTTCTCACCTGCTAGCTCACCATCCCCCCCCCCCCCCCTCACCTTGCAATATTTCTCTTCCGTTCGTCCCGCCTCTCCCTGGTTCTGCTTCCTCAACCCCAACTTTTCCCCCTTGTTCTTCTTCTCTACTTGTCATTATTCAGACGCATCCTCCCTTTCCTGTACCTCCTCCCCCTTCTTGGTCATTCGTTTCCCTTCCCCTCCTCCACGCTTTTTGCCCTTGTTCTCATCTCCCTCCTTTCCCGTCTCCAATACACCCCTCCCCCCCCTTCTGCACCAACACTTTGTGACCCCTCCCCCACTTCACCCTCTCCCCCTCGCCCTCTGCCCCTCGCCCTTCCCCCACCCCAGTGCACCAACATTATGTGAAACCTCTTCACCTCCCCTCTCCTCCTCTTCCCCTCCATTCTCCCCCTCTTCCCCCTCCCCACCCCTCTCCTCACCTCCCCCCAGTTCACCACCAACTCCTTGATCCGCACCAACGCCATGAAGTACCTCCCATCTTTTCTCTTCCCCCTCCCCCCCCCTCCCCCAACTACTTCTAATTCCAAGACGTCTTAGACTTCGAAATCTCCCCACTTTTCATCCCAGCACACCAACACCATTTTTGTTACCCTCACCCCCCCCTCCCCTCCCCCTTCCCCCCACCCCCCTTCAGTACACCAACGTCTCATTAATCCGCACCAACGCCATGAAGTGCCTCCCCAACTACTTCCACACGGCACAGGTGGGGTAGGTGGGTGGGGCACACAAGGCATGGGTGGGGCACACAAGGCATGGGTGGGGCACACAAGGCATGGGTGGGGAACACAAGGCATGGGTGGCGCACATGGCACAGATGGGGTGGGTGGGGCACAAGGTACAGGTGGGCAGCGATGGTTGAAATGGGGTGGGTGACAAGGCACAGAGCTGGGCTGTCAGCACACATGCCTCTTTATCAGAAACAATAAGGATATAGCTGATGATACAGAACCATAAATGAAGAGCAAGCTAGGTAAAGCACAGAGACGCCAATCATTAATGTGTAATGTACTCAGGCGTGTGCTCTCACTGACCACCCGCTGACATGCCATCCCATCCCAGGCAGCCGACATGTCTGATGTCCCTTACCTCCTTGCCGATTTCTTTCATTTTGCCTTACCATACCATGCCCGCCCGTCTGATGGCAGCTGACCAATTCGCTTCCCTGATCCACACTTCATCGTCTTGTCTCCTTTTGCCTCACCCTCTCCTCTGCTTGCCTCTTTTCATCACTCTCACTCTCCTCCCTGCTTGCCTCTTTTCACCACTCTCACCCTCTTCCCTGCTTGCCTCTTTTCACCACTCTCACCCTCTTCCCTGCTTGCCTCTGGCAGCTGACAAAGATGGTCTTCCTCGTCTTCGAGGCTGCACTTCAAGGAGAAGAACCACCGCCTGCCTTGCCGACGGCACGCTGTACAGGTGAGGGGTGATTGGTGAGAGGCGTGCCAATGGAACACCGTGTAGGTGCCATAGCTCAATACGTGGCAGAAACTGTTAGTTAAGAACAGCTTGAGAGTAGTTTGTTCGAGTGCTTGTCAATGCTGTCCGGTTGTGTGTGCTGCGCTGTTTGTAACGTTGCTCGTCGGGTTTGCTGCCAAAGAGAGAATGCTGAGTAGTATGTTGCGAATACGGTGTTGCTGCCTAGTGCGCCATGCCAGTCTGGAAAACAGGCAAAGATTGGGAGGCAATTTATGAGAGGAATGGCATTGCCAAGGCATAGAGACCTATTTCCTCCACTCTCCTCCTCTCCTCTCCTCCTCTCGTCTTCTCTCCACTCCTTCACTCCTCACCCCGTTTCCCACCACCTTTTCTGCTGTGCAGAGCTGCTGCTACTGGGGACGGGGCAGTGCATGCAAGCAGTACCTCGACTCAAAAGGTGACTTCTGACTTTAGATTCGACTCAAAAGTCACCTCAGGGGAGTCGAGGCACTTGGAGAGGGCGTGTGGCATGAAGCTCGAAGTGCTCTCCACTGTGCTGGTAATGCCTCTGGTAGTGCTGCTGCTGACACTGTGTGCACCGTGTTTGATGTTGCTGGCTTGCCTCCATCGAGATTGGGGTTTTGGCTTCGCTGCGTTGTGTGATGCTGCATGGGCGTGGGTTGTGCTGAGCTTGGTGCATGAGGTATGCCCGTTCACCCTTTTCTTCTCACCCTTTCCTTCTCACCCTTTCCTTCTCACTCTTTCCTTCTCACCCTTTCCTTCTCACCCTTTCCTTCTCACTCTTTCCTTCTCACCCTTTCCTTCTCACCCTTTCCTTCTCACTCTTTCCTTCTCACCCTTTCCTTCTCACCCTTTCCTTCTCACCCTTTCCTTCTCACCCTTTCCTTCTCACCCTTTCCTTCTCACCCTTTCCTTCTCACCCTTGCCTTCCCACCCTTGCCTTCTCACCCTTGCCTTCTCACCCTTGCCTTTTCCTCAACCACCAACGGCATGCTGTGATTAGTCTACTTCATTCCCGTCACGCATCTATGGATTTCTCCATCTCACCGCGCAGAGCCAATCCTCGCCCTGACTGCCAATCTCTTCCTTTTCCCTACCTCCCTCTCTTTGGTTCACCGCACAGCACCATGCAGCACACCCCTGCACCATCCACTCCTTCCCGTGTCCTTCCCCCCATGCGCCCACCCATTAGCGCCATGCCATAGCCACACGCAGCGTTCTCAACGAGAAGGGCCATGCCATATCCACGCGCCTATCCCTGTCTTTCCTCCAACCAATGACCCCTTTGTCCTCCCCCCCATGCCTCCTCCCACCAGCCCCATGACATAGCCACGCGCAACGAGGAGGGCAGATCCGTTGCTGCTGCACTGCTGTTGCCCTCAACACCCACACCCTCCTCGTTATGATGTGTGCTAGAATAATGCATGCTGTTGCCTGCATTACGATGATGATGTGGATGGATGGATGTGGCGTGCGCCTCTGCTCTGCAGTTCATGTTACAGCTGTCGTAATGCCGACATTTGAAGTGGTAGATTGTATGGAGAGCTGGCTGTGTGCACTACAGAAACAACTCTCCGCAATAATATGTAACTGTGCAAGCTAGGTACATCCCAGTGTCAAAATCAGAATACTGTACATAAAACAGGGTCTGAATCGAAACCATGCTAATTGATAGCCCACTTATAATAACTCATGTAATTGTGCAATAACTGCCATCGTAACGTGCAGTTGCCTGGTTAAACCAATCCAACGGGCAAGAGTGCAAGTTACCCATCCCTCCCTGGCAGCGAATATTAGAATCATCACTTCTGCTGGTGTTGCCTCACGTATACCTGGTCCTCCTCGGCACAGAACCCCTCCACCAGCTTCCTGTTCACACTGTGCATCTTCTCCCTCACATTCTTGGCCCTGTTTCCCCCCTTTTCTTCATCCCACACTCCACTCTTGCCCCGCCTCACATGGTCGAGCGGCCCATGGCTCACCGGCTGACCTTTCCTGTGCCAATAGAAGGAGCGGTCCACCACACAGTAGAGCGCCAGGGCGGGGTAGTCCTGCCGCAGTGCAGCCAGTGCAGGCGCATTACACGCCTTGCGGGTGGGGAAAAAGAGGAACCGCAGATTCGGAGCGCGGATGGACGGCGGCTTGAAGAAGGCCTTACTCATCCGCCGCCGAGCCCTCAGCCTGGCTTTTACGGCTGGACCATACAATGCCCATGCCTCCTCACCATACTCATCAACACCCACACCATCAATCTCATCATCATCGTCAGCATCATCATCGTCATCATCATCAGCATCCTCAGCAGCATCATCAAACATATAGTCATCCTCATCCACTTCCTCATCCTCATCCTCATCCGGCACCAAGTCAAAATAACCCGGGTCATCATTGCGCAACCTGCCATCGTCTAAATGCTCCTCACTCCCACCCTCATCCGTGCCCCTTCGCCAGTCTTTCACATAAGGATTCCTGTCCCACGGAGGCACGACAATCCCAAGGCTCCGCAGCCTCCCCCACTCTGCATCCACCTTCCGTATAGGCACACCGTGCCTCACTATAAGCACCTCCACTGTTGGCGCTATAGTGCCAAGAAATTCCGTCCAGGAAAAGCCTTCTTGGTTATTAGTCGGTCCGTCCAAGTAGACAACTCTGGCGGATGCGAGGCGGAGGGAGGAAATGCCGAGGTGCTCCTGACTGTACAGCGAGAGGTGGTCGAGAGCGAGAGGGGCGGTGCTCTTGCAGGAGAGGACAAGCTGTTTGGCCATCACTGAGAGAGTCTTGAGCGCTGCTGGGGACACAGAGAGGGCGAGGTGCAGCTCAGTGCTGGCAAAGCAGAAGCGGAGGAGGCGGGCGTTGGGGAAGGAGAAGGCGAGGCGGGTGGTGGAGGAGGGAAAGTGAGAATCTTCATGAAGCCTGTTGCCGTCCTCGTAGAGCGTGAACTCGTGCAGCTGCGGCGTGATGGACTCGAGGAACTGGAAGCTCAAGCTCCCGAAATCGACCTGTTGCAAGGTCAGCTTGCGGATAGACTTGAACCACGGCGCGTTCACACACTGCTTGTTGAGTTCCCACTTGCCTCGGCCCAGGTTCAACTCCCACAGCTGGGCACATTCTGTGAGAAAACCCAGCGACCAGCAGTTGTTGTCCTGGTGCTTGGAGAGACCAACAGGGCCTTGCGACTCCAGGCGGAGGGACGAGAGGGAGGGGCTGCTGCGAGCGATGCAGGCGCCGAGAATGGGGAGATGCTCGGAGGAGGAGAAGGTCGAGGGAGTGGAGGCCCGGGCGGGTGAGAAAGAAGCGGATGGTCTGCGACCAGTGGAGGTTCTGGTCGTCGTACCTGAGCGAGATGGGCTGGCTCTCCTGTGATTGTAAGTGGGTGGGGTGGGACAGCGTGGAGGAGTTGAAATTTGAGACAGCTGAGGTGTGGAGGTTGGTTTCAGGACACCTGGTGCTCAGCGTCACCAGCACAAGCAGCGGGAGCAAGCCTTTTCGGTTCTTGTTGCTAATGGGTGTGGGAAACGTCGTCCATCCCCATGCACGGAAAGGTGAAAGCCAAGTGAAAGCTAAGGGCTGAAAGCTGAAAGGTGAAAGGTGGAAGGAAAGGTGAAAGTTGAACTGGCTTAAACGGAACCTGAAATCTGGAATAAAATCTGAAAGTTAAAATGAAATGTGAGAAGTTGAAATGCTATCTGAACGCTAAATCAAATATGAAAGCTGAAAAAATAGACTCAAAGTTGAAAACTGAAAGGAAAGCTGAAAGCTGAACGGGAAGCTGAAAGCTGAATGGAAATTGAAAGCCTGAATTCTAAGCTGAAAGCTGAACAGCTGAAATGAAATCTGAAAGCTGAGAGGAGATTTGAAAGCTGAAACCGAAACTGAAAGTTGAAATGAAACCTTAAAGCTGGAAGGTGAAAGGAAAGCTGGAATCTGAGGCTGAAATGAGAGCTGAAAGCTGGAAGCTGAAATGAAAGATGCAATGAAATCTGAGTGCTGAAATGGAAGCTGAAAGCTGAAATGGAAGCTGAAAGCTGAAGCTGAAAGATAAAGGCTGATGTTTACGGGTGCACTGCGTAGGTGGTAAAGCTGAAAGTCGAAATTCGTGGACGAGAAAGTGCAAGATCTTCTTGGCGAAAGTTGACAGGGAAATGTGTGACGGTGAAAAACGAGTAGAGAGAGCTTACTGAGAAAGCTACGACGAGATTGAGAAGCCTCTTGCTGGCGAGAGCGCAGCAGAGCAGAGCCCATGAAGCGCCATAGGTGTCAGTGTTATCCTCGTGTTGCTCTCTGGCAGTGAGGCCCTCTTCCAGGAATACAACTGGCGGGCGATCGCGATCAACCCTGGTGTTGGTGAGATGGTCGCTGGTTCTGGTGTTAGTGAACCCAGGGGTGCGGAACCATTCAACATCACGGGCATCCAATCGCTCTGCCTCCTCTTTTACCTCATCCTTTGTCTCTTCCTCTGATTCTACTTCTGTCTCGGAATCATCAGCGCCAATATTCGACTTCCCCCCCTCCTTCACCTCTTTCTCTGAAACTTTTACTTTCTCTTCCTTTTTCCCTCCCTCCTTCGCCTCTGCCTCTAGAACTTTCACTTTCCCATCCTCATCCTCCTCCTCTTCCTCTGAGTCTTCTTCTATCTCAGAATCATCAGAGCCAGTTTCCGTCTTCTCCTCCTCCCTTTGGGCGAGGGTAGCAGCGTCGTCCGGTTGGGAGGGCGGTTGATGCAGAAGGTGGAAGATTCGAAACCGGATAGGCGTTGGCAGCATGTCGACGGCATCAGGGGGGGTGTTGGCTGCAGCATGAAAGCAAAAAAAAAGGGGGAGACGGGGGAAGAAAGGGGACTGAGTTTGCTGGGTTGAGTTGAGAGAACGGAGAAATGGGAGAAATAACACAGGAATGATGAGAATGAGAGGACAACATGCTTGCGCTTGGAGAGCAGAGCAGACTGAATGGTAACAAAGCAGGTGACTGGATCCAGGGACAACGGGAGACTCGATGACGAGAAAATGTACACGAACAGGTACTGGGGGCTTGGAATCTGGGTGACACTTTCAGCGTGTTTTAAATAGGGAGCACACAGAAAGAATGAGAACGAGAAGATAAAGAGTGGCGATAACGACTGGAAAGAGAATTTGAGGTCCAGGGCAAGGGAGAATGGGGCAAACGACGTCGGCAAAACGAGGGCTGTGAAATGGTGCCAAATGGTTGTGTGCGATGTGGGAGGAAGAATGCTGTAAGTAAGTTGGAAAAATGGATGTAAAAAAGAGTGAGACTTGCTGCTCGATCCCTAATGTTTCAAATCCTAAGCGTGTTGCCATAATGTCGCTAGTCGCTTCTTATGATGTCGTTATCTGCTGTCCGCACGAAGCGGTGAGTGCACCAGGGTGATGACTCCGTGGTTTATATGAGGTAATTTCAGTCATGTGAGAAGCATCAGCTGGAGGAATTCCTGGCTGTTGCTTTGTCGCATTTCAGCTAAGCACAGACCTGACGGGTCCATTCTTTGTGTACACGAACAGGTACTGGGGGCTTGGAATCTGGGTGACACTTTCAGCGTGTTTTAAATAGGAGCTCCCTTTCAGCGAAATCCGGTTGTTGAGTGTGAGCGAATGAAAGCACCAACGCGGCTATTAGATGCTAGCCGTCTTAGCGCCAGAGGTGGCCATGCTGCCTGTGCATTAGTCTGTGTGGGAGTTACCAAGAATTTCTTGCACATGTTTCATACATGAAGGACGGAGTTCATAGTCCCATATTCAAGCAGTTCATGGGTCGTGTACTCTGTTGGAGAATCAAGTTTCTGCCGCCCCAGCCCTTTGCACACAAGGAGCAGCAAGGGGGGAATGTCGGCGACGGATTGAAGGTTTCGCAAACAAATCAGAAAGTTTCTCAACCAATCAGATTGGAGCCGAATTCTCGATACAGTTTGGAATTGTTTTCAAGAAGAAAGGTCAACAGTTTCTACAGGTTTCTACCAAACAAAATCAGCTATGACAGAGAATTCCAGAGCTTTCTTATTCATGCACCTCATGTGGCTCTCAAGTCACTCAAGGTTCATGGAATCTTAATTGTGCCTAAGTTCTCCAGGAAGTTGCCTTGTCTAGCAGCCTAGTTTGAGCTATCAATCTGCATGATTGTAATGCTTAAGAAGTTGTGCCTTAGTGGGCTTGTACAATCTTGAGCATAGTGTAAGTTTTCTCTCATCAAGCCAAGTCCAGCAGCCCTGCTAAGACTTTCCAGCCAAGTTTCCAGCCCTCCAGTAGTCACAGCTACTCTGTTTTACAAGTTGGTATCAGAGCTACTCTGTTTTACAAGTTGGTATCAGAGCCCGTCGTTTCGATCAACCGAGCCCGCCACCTCCCTATCCTAGCACAAACCGTCCATGGCGGGAGACAACCCATCTGGCCCTGTACTCCAGCCAGCCGGAGGAGCTTCAGAGTCAACATCAGCAGCTACGGGATTAGTGGAAGCAGTTGCACCAGGCAGTCCTTCAACAACATACTCACCACTCACCTCCTTCATGCCTAAGCTTCATCTCCCCAAGTTCAACGGCAAAGATTTTCCAACATGGGCAACCCAGTTTGAGCTCACTGCATCTCTTCTGGATCTGTGGCCTTACTACACTGGAGAAGCATCCAAACCAGCAGCAGATGCTTCAGAATCTGAAAAACGACTTTACGAACGGCGCAACAAGGAGACCTTCCTCTACCTACTCAATAGCATTCACGAGCAGCATTTGAAGTCGCTCCTGCCCTGTTCTACCAAGGCAAACAGTGCAGAGGAAGCATGGAGCCGACTGAAGTCTATGCACCAGTCAAAATCCGAGAGCAGCCAGGCCGAGATGTGGAGCCGCTTCATGAGTCTCAAGATGGAAGAAGAGGAACCAGCCCAAACCTACCTTCAACGAGCTGAAACGATGCTAGAGGAAGCAGCAGCGATCGGCTTGGAGATTCCAGAGTCTCTTTTCAAGACCGTCATCCTCACTGGCCTTACAGTGGAGTGGGACACTTTCCGTGCAACACTACAAGCACTTCCGCAGTCAATGAAGACCCGTGCGTTCATCTTCGAAGCCCTTGTCAACGAGCAGCAAAGTCGAGAGCTTGCACGAAACAGGCGGAGTGACGAGGGTGCGTGGAGTGCTGCAGCAGCTACAAGATATGGCAACCAATCCCAGAGGCAAGGAAATTTCAGCCCAAACCGCCCTCAACCATACTATGGTACGAATTTTCAGTCACCTTCCAACCCATACAAACCCTCTCGTTTTGCTCAGTCAAGTCCTCCCAATAAGTCAAGTCCCTATGTCCAGCCAAGGCCTTCTATTCCCATTCAATATCAGCCTAGGAATGCAAGAGTTAATCCGCCAAGAGTCAATAATTTCAGCCAAGCCTCGAATGCTAAAAAGTTTAATTTTGAGTGTTTTTGTTGTCATGAGTGGGGTCATCCGTGGTATGCTTGTCCTAAGAAGCCTCCTAATTGGGCCCCCCCTCCTCAGCTACTATCTGAAAAGGGTAAGGCAGCCATAGCAAATATAGCAAGTCATTCTACAAGTCAAAATGAGTCCAAAGATTCTGATGGTCCTGTCCTTTTCAACGCTGCTACTTGCATGCACGTTTTTTCTACTAGTAGTGAGGAGTTTATTCTTGATAGTGGCTGTTCTGAAACCATGACTCCCTATCAGTCCATTCTCAAAGATTTTCAGCCCTCGTATGACTCAAAAGCTGTGACACTTGCTGATCTTGGCAAAGTACCTATCAAAGGAGTCGGCAAGCTTGAGTTTGAAAAGGATGGTAAGTCTTTTTGTGTCAATAAAGCTTTATTTGTTCCTGATTTGGGAGCAAACTTGCTCTCAGCTGGACAACTTGAAGAGAAAGGTGCCTCTGTTCTTTTGCAAGGGGGGAAAGCCAAAGTGTGGGATAGTGCAGGAAATTTGGTGGCTGAAGGCGAGCGTACCGGGCGTCTCTACAAGATGAAGTTGGAGATTAAGCGCGGTTCTAGCAACGCGAAGAACGACGTTGTTTCGCTTCCCGCTGTTTCAACCGATCAAGTCAACAACAAAGGGAGTATCTCCCAAGCTGAGGTATGGCATGCACGCTTGGGGCACTTGGGGATGCAAGCATTCAAAGAGTTAGTAAGTCACAAGAGCGTGGAAGGACTTAATTTGAGTGAAAGTGCAGTCAAGTCTCTTTCTACCGTCCCATGCCCATCTTGTGTCGAAGGTAAGTTAGCAAGAAAGCCATTTTTTCCTTCTAAGTCTCAGTCAATGGACCTCCTAGAGTTGGTCCACACTGATGTATTCGGCCCCATGCGAGACCCTACTCGAAACGGTAAGAAATATTTGGTGTCTTTCATTGATGACAAGAGTCGTTTCTCGTGGTCCTTTTTCATCAACACCAAGGATGAAGTGCACAAGTGTTTCAAGCAATGGCTAGCACTTGTTGAGAGAGAGTCAGGGAAGAAGTTACTCACCTTGAGGTCGGACCGAGGAGATGAGTACATGGGGAAAGCATTTCAGGGGGAGTTGTTGGCATTGGGCATCAAACAACAGTTCACTTGTCCCTATAGTCCTCAGCAAAACGGAGTGGCAGAGAGGTTTTATCGCACTATTCAAGCTATAGCTACCACTTATCTTCAGTTTAAGGGCCTTGACAAGCTCTGGTGGGGTGAGGCAATCACTATGGCAATTTATGTTCGCAACAGGAGACCCACAAGGCCCCTACCGGATGGTGTAACGCCATATGAGGCTTGGTTTGGAGTTAAACCAGATCTTTCTATGCTTCGTGTTTTTGGTTCCATGGCCCAATACCGTGTTCCAGATGCAAAGAGACTCAAGCTGGACAGCAAAGCTCATTGGGGCCTCTTCATCGGCATGAGCAACGAGAGCAAGGGATGGGTCCTTTGAAATCCCGTCACCAAGCGAGAAGTGGTTTCAAGGGATGTGGTCTTCTATGAAGACATGTCCCTTGCAGATTAGCACAAGTTTTCCTCTTCCTCCTCTCCACCACCCTCTATCCAGCAGGAACTAGCAAGAGCACAGGAAACAACACAAGAGGAGGAAGAAGATGACACAGATTCTGACCATAGCGGACCCATCATCGATCTCCCTCAAGCCGTCGTCAACGAGACCAGCCGTGCCACACCAGCACCACCAGCAGCTACACAACCAAGTGGAGATGAAGTTCAGCCATCAAATGAAGACCATCCACCTCAGGAAGTCACCGTTCCATCACCACCAAAGGAGCAGCAGCCATCCGTCACAAACCAGCCAGCTACTTCAACACCTACTCCGCAAGTTCAACGTCCATTGGATCAGCCCACCACTACGCCACCAAACCCATCATCAGCCGCCACTCCAGAGGCAACTACCGACACTCATCATCATCCAATGCAGCAGCAATCAACAGCCACAACACCCCAAGTACCTACATCCACACCATCTACAATTCTTCCTACCAACAAGACAACCATCACCGCAACATCTCGTTCTCACACACGTTCATCACTTCAGGTTCCAACGTCAAGCCAGCTCATAGCACGAGGATCACTTCAGCGAGTCACCACCAACACCAGCTCCAACAGCCCACTTCTTCACCCAAGACCTTTCTCAACTTCACCCCCACGTCCCGGAATTGGCCGTCATCAGTTACCGTCATCTTCAACACCGAGAAACAACACCAATCAGCCTCATTCATCATCACCTCTTGACAACGCAGCGTCATCATCAATCCCCAAGCTTCTAGTCTCAAGATCCCCACCAAGAGCACCTTCACAACCAACTATGCCGACGAACGTTTCAGCTTCACCGCCACGAGCCATCACTCCTATTCCTCAAGTCAACACCGATAATCGAGAGAGTTTCACGCCGGGAGAAGATCATGCAGCCGTGCCGCTGTCGCAGCCGACGTCGCAGCCGTTGTCTCAGCCGCAAATGACAGTGTCAACGCATCCAAGCACTGTGAGACCGAACCCTACTACTGATGTGTCTCAGTCAAGTGAGGAGTTGGGTAAAGGTAAACGAGTCCGCAAGGTGAAAAAGCCCTTCACATTCATGGTTGAGATGTCATCAAGGTGCACGTGTGAGGAGAGTGAGAATTGCATTCACAAGAAGGTAGAGGCAATATGCATGGCAGCGTCACACCTTCCACGAGAGCCATTGAGTCGTCGTGAGGCAGTGGCAAGTCCCGAGAGAGAGCATTGGTTGAAGGCCGAGGAAGAAGAGATTGAGAGTCTCATGAAGAGAGGTACATGGCGTCTTGTTGAGCCACCTCCAGAGAAGAAGGTAATTGGTGTCAAATGGTTGTACAAGATTAAGGTAAAATGTGATGGTACACTTGATAGGTACAAGGCAAGGTTAGTGGCAAAAGGTTATTCCCAAATTCCAGGTCTTGACTTCACCGAAACCTTTGCCGCGGTAGCGAAGTACACCACGGTACGAGTCCTCCTCGCCATAGCCGCATATCTTGGTCTCCATATCCATCAAATGGATGTCAAGAACGCATTTCTCTACGGTGTCTTGGACGAAGAGGTATACATGGCACAACCCGAAGATTATGATGATGGTACGGGTCGAGTTTGTTGCTTGGTAAAGTCACTTTATGGTCTCAAACAGTCCCCACGGGTATGGTATCATGCTCTTGAGACGGTACTCTTCAAGCACGGTTTCACAAGGTCCATGAGAGACAACGCGTTGTACTTCATGCACACGAGTAAGGGGGAGTACATTTGGCTGTTGGTATATGTTGATGACCTCCTCCTAGTCTCAGGTTCTCTTGATCTCCTCAACAAGGTGAAAGGTATTCTCATGAGTGCATTCACGATGACCGATCTTGGTGAGCCGAGTCATTATCTTGGTATGAACATTGTGAGAGATCATAAGTCACGGTCCATCTTCCTATTCCAGCAAAGATACATCCAGAAGGTCCTTGAGAGGTTTGGTCTTGATGATAGCAAGCCATCACCTACCCCGCTTCCTTCCAACTTTGTCCCTCTGTCATCACATCAGCCCTATGAAGAGAGGGAGTCAAGCCTTGACATCACGGGTATTGAGGAGTTGTGTCTTGAGGAGAGTGAGCATCATGGTGAAAATTCACCCAAGGTATCCCCACAAGACCTAGCTCTCTACCAAAGTCAGGTTGGGTGTCTCATGTATGCAGCCCTATGCACAAGGCCCGACCTAGCATTCACGGTATCCAAGCTAGCTCAACACATGAGTGCCCCATCACCTACCCATATGCATGCAGCCAAGCGAGCTCTTCGGTATCTCAAAGGTACTTCTAATCTTGGTCTTCTCTTCCAAGCCAGCCCACATGCAAGCTCCCTCCAAGGCTTCACCGATGCAGATTGGGCGGGAGAATTGAGCACACGCAAGTCCACCGGCGGCTACATCTTCCTCATGTGCGGTGCCGCTGTTTCTTGGCAATCACGCAAGCAAAGTTGTGTGGCGCTTTCTACAACCGAAGCCGAGTACATGGCAATGACCGAAGGAGCAAGGGAGGCAATCTGGTTACGTGGACTCTTGGAGGACTTGAGGCAGCCGCAAACTCAACCGACTCCGCTCTACGTGGACAACACTTCAGCCATCGCTCTTTCCAAGAACCCGGTTCATCATGGGCGTACAAAACACATCGAGGTGCAGTACCATTTCATCCGTGAGCAACTAGAGAAGGGAGTTCTCGCCGTCAACTTTTGCCGTTCATTCGACCAAGCAGCAGATTTCATGACTAAGGTTCTTCCACATGATGCATTCAACATGTGCAAGGCAAGAGCAGGTCTCATGACACTTCATGAAGCAGTGCAGCAGTTTGAGGAGAATGAGGGGTATGAGGAGAAGCAATATGGGCAGCAGCATGGAGTGTATGCCAAGGAGATGTAAGAGGAGAATAAGAATGGGCGTATGTGTGCTTCGGGTCTGGTGCGAGGGGGAGTGTTGGAGAATCAAGTTTCTGCCGCCCCAGCCCTTTGCACACAAGGAGCAGCAAGGGGGGAATGTCGGCGACGGATTGAAGGTTTCGCAAACAAATCAGAAAGTTTCTCAACCAATCAGATTGGAGCCGAATTCTCGATACAGTTCGGAATTGTTTTCAAGAAGAAGTGTCAACAGTTTCTACAGGTTTCTACCAAACAAAATCAGCTATGACAGAGAATTCCAGAGCTTTCTTATTCATGCACCTCATGTGGCTCTCAAGTCACTCAAGGTTCATGGAATCTGAATTGTGCCTAAGTTCTCCAGGAAGTTGCCTTGTCTAGCAGCCTAGTTTGAGCTATCAATCTGCATGATTGTAATGCTTAAGAAGTTGTGCCTTAGTGGGCTTGTACAATCTTGAGCATAGTGTAAGTTTTCTCTCATCAAGCCAAGTCCAGCAGCCCTGCTAAGACTTTCCAGCCAAGTTTCCAGCCCTCCAGTAGTCACAGCTACTCTGTTTTAGTCTGTGTGGGAGTTACCAAGAATTCCTTGCACATGTTTCATACATGAAGGACGGAGTTCATAGTCCCATATTCAAGCAGTTCATGGGTCGTGTACTCTAGTCAGTAGGATTGTGTGGTTGCTTTGCGCGTGGTACCAGATATGTGGAGCGAGCTGACCCCGAGGCGTTCCGTGTTACGTAATTCCCGAGATGGGATCGAATTCGAAAAGCACCTCGGCACATGGTCTCGAACTGTCGCACCACATGCCCGTAATTCGCGACCAACAACACACGTCGATCTGCAAACGAACGCACCAAAGTCACCCGGTCGAGTGGAGGCTCTCAAGAACCTCCCTAGATCATGTGGGTGAACGGGCTGGTAAAATGACAGTCGGTGGGTGCTGGACACGCCCCAAACCTATTTCTTCTTTAGAGGGTGTCTCAGATGTAGAGTCCACGTGGGTCCGGCTCGGACCTGACGGACCAGCTCAAGAACCAGCGCGTGAACCAGGGCGGACCGGGACCAGGATGTGGGGCTTGTAACCCTGTTATACCGTTCGAATGGCACTAAAACGGTGCCCTTTATTTGGCCCTCCAGACCAGTCCGCGCCTGGTCCGTAAACAGTGGGCGGGGAAACATTTGTTTTGGCGAAATTTCTTGTTTTGTAAGTTTCGCGTAGGTTTTTTTTGCAAACGAAGAAAACGGGTAACTCAATTTCAAATTCGTCGCTACTGCTGCATCTTGCAAAAACTGTGCAGCCCGAAGCGCGACGCATCAGGCAGACCAGTCCGTGTCTGGTCCAACGCTGGTCCGCCAAGTGGGTCCGTCGGACCAGAACCCCGGACCAGGCGTATAGATTCTGGTCGCGGACCAGATCCAGCGGACCCTTCACATGAGACACGTCCTTAGCAGAAGAGCAGCGACCAAGGAAAGCACAATTGACATATTTTCGTGCTTTCCCAACACGTCTGGTTTGATCACCAACATCCTACAGAATCCGCCAGAATGAAGGCGAATCAGCAGCGCAAGCCGCCAGGCAGCAGCGGCGCCGCGTTGCCGCAGAAGCGCTTCTACCGTGCTCGAGCGCACAGCAACCCGCTCAGCGATAACCTCTTTCCAGTGTAACCACCACTCCCATCCTCCACCGTCGGATTCAGTATCTGGCACTTACCGCCGTTATATCGAGTCCATCGCACCGCAACCTAGTTGGCCCCCGAGGCTTGTCCAGAGGAGCGCATTGGGACAGAATGTATCGGGGATACGGTGTAGCGAGGAAGGAGCTTATCGGGGGTAGAATGTAGCGCAGGAAGTGCGATTGCTATGAGCATGAGGTGGTGGGAGTCCAAGAGGGGCTCGTTTCCTCCTAGACGGAGTCGGTACGACGGAACGGAATCTGTTTCGCGGCGGAGTTCCGTTCCGAGCCTGCACGCGCGCCGTGCAGCAGCCGTCGATCTGCACGCCGAATCAAAGCTCTCATTGTGCCTGCGGCATCAGGCTACAGCCTCGTTCTCCTCTCTATCCCCATAACGCCTTGCACGAGCTTGTTTCCGCCGTCTGCTGGCGAATCTCGACCTTGGGCGGCTCCCCGCCGACCGTTAATCTGGCCAACTCGGGCGAGCGCTTGAATGCCTGGCTTGATTGGACTTGCCCGCATGTCGGTGTTTAGGGTTAGGTAGGGCCATTCGAGGGTTGGATTGATCCGGACATTGTCCAGCGTCCGGCCAGTGCCTTGAATGATCTGCGTTACAGGAGGCTGCGTTAGGGTTTGAGGACTGGGCGCATCATCCGCGGTCAGGACCCGCTGAGGGCTTCACTCGCGCTATTGCCTGCCTGTCCAGTGGTAGTGCGTCGCGCGGAAGCCAATAGCTCGACAGGGGTTCGGGGTCGGGGTTTATCCCGCGGGGTTTTAGCGCTAAGCCTGTGTGCAAGCATGCGGACAGCACTCCACCCGCACTCCCCAGCCTCGTTCGTCCCAGCCGTGCCGTTCCTCACCTCCACTTGCGCCCTCCTTGCCTCCCCTGCTCCCCTTGCCCACTCCTTTTGCCGCATTTTCCCTTTTCCCCTTCCACCACCCCCCTCTCCCCCGTGCGCCCCACGTGCAGCCCCGTGTGCCCCGCGGAGGTGGACTGGTCCGCGCACTTCCCCGCGTTCTTCCCCCCCACTGCTGCCGCGGCACAACCTCCTGCTGCTGCTGATGGCAGTGCTGCTGCTGCTGCTGCTGCCGAGGGGGAGGGAGGTCCTTCAGCAGCACGAGATGGTGCGGATTGAGTCGTGGGGACTGACGGCATGGGCAGTGGGCGGTGGAGATGATGAAGCTAGGGAGTGGGCTGTGGTGAGGGCGGTGATGAGAGTGAGGGATTTGGGGACAAAGGGGCGAGGGAGAGTAGGGATGAGAGGGTACAGATTGTGGGATGTGGGTGCATGAGAGGGGTGCGGTGGGGTAAGAGCTGGAAGAAATGGCTTTTCATTGATACTCCTTCTCCCTCTGCTCGTGCGTTGCTTGCAGGAGCGGCACAGCAGCATGCCACGACCGCCGCCCCAATCAGCAACACAGGCCAACCAATGGTCCGCTTTGCTGACGTCGGGTGTGGCTTTGGCGGCCTGCTAGGTGCGTTGGTGGTTTGTGCTACTGGACGTGCATGCTGGTCTCACCACTGCATGCATCTTCGCCCGCTTCTCCTTTGCTCCTCTCTCCCGCCTTTCTCTGCCAAGTGGCAAGTGCACCTCTCCTCTCCATCTCACTGCACCTTCAGGTCGTCGCACATCATTTTCGCGCCACTCGCCCTTCGCTCCCTTACCATCTTCTCCACACTCGTTTGCTCTCTTCTCTACCCCCCCCCCCTCCCTTCTTCTTCGCCCCCCTCCCCCGCTCCCTCTCCCCTCCCCCACTCCCGCTCCCCTCCCCCACCCCCTGTTTTGCCCGTTTGTTGCAGTGAAGCTGTCTCCCATGTTTCCAGATACACTCATGGTTGGCTTCGAGCTACGTGACAAAGTACGCTATCCAGCTGGCCGCCCGTTGTGTTGTTCACAATAGCCGCAGGCATAACGTTGACGTGTGATCTGTGTGTGTGGTGTGGAAGATGGGGGTGGGTGAGTTGCGTGTGCGTGCGTGCATGCGCGTGTGTGTATGTGCATTCCATTATCCTTGCTTGCTCCTCTCACGTGCCATCTCCTTCACACTCTACACGCTTTCCCCCGTTTTGTCATGTCACCCCCCCTAACCCCCATGTGAGTGAGTACGTGAGTACTTTTGAGGCGCCTCACAGCCCCACGTGCTGTTATCCCCCACTCCACCCCTTTCCCACAGGTGAGCGAGTATGTGAAGGACCGCATTCTTGCTCTCCGGCAGCAACACCCCTCCCAGGTACACCCCTCCCAGGTACACCCCTCCCAGGTACACCCCTCGCAGGTACACCCCTCCCAGGTACACCCCTCCCAGGTACCCGCCTCCCTTTCGCGAATTCTCAAGAGTCATTCTGCCTCTCTCTCCCCCCTCTCCCGCTCTCCTGGCCACTCGTCATTTCCTTTCTCGCCTGCTACCTCACCATTCCCTCTGTCCTCACCTTGCATTGCAACGCCTCACTTGCGTTTGTCCTGTGGATTCCATGCTCTTCTTGCGCAACCTGAATGGAAAACACTTCTGAGAATTCTCAAAAGTGATTCCATGCTCTTCTTGCTCAACCTTAATTCTTCTCGTTTACTTGTCTCTCCGATTGTTATTGTCGGATGCACTCTTACTTTAAGCTACCTATAAAATTACTCCCCTTCCTTTCTTGTTGCTTCCCCGCCATCTCTCCTCCACGTTCTGTGCCCTCATTCTGCTCTCCTCCACGTTCTGTGCCCTCATTCTGCTCTCCTCCACGTTCTGTGCCCTCATTCTGCTCTCCTCCACGTTCTGTGCCCTCATTCTGCTATCCTCCACGTTCTGTGCCCTCATTCTGCTCTCCTCCACGTTCTGTGCCCTCATTCTGCTCTCCTCCACGTTCTGTGCCCTCATTCTGCTCTCCTCCACGTTCTGTGCCCTCATTCTGCTCTCCTCCACGTTCTGTGCCCTCATTCTGCTCTCCTCCACGTTCTGTGCCCTCATTCTGCTCTCCTCCACGTTCTGTGCCCTCATTCTGCTCTCTCCTCTTTCGTCTTCCGCCACACCCACCACGGTACACCTAAATCTGTGACCCCTCTTCTCAACCCAACCCTCTCCCCAGCACACCAGCATCTCATTGCACCGCACAACACCATCTCATACCTCCACAACCACTCTCTATGAGGCGTATTAGACACCGCTCTCGCTCTCTGCTCTCCATGAGGCGTATTAGACACTGCTCTCGCTCTCCGCTTTTCATGAGGCGTATTAGAACTCTCCGCTCTCGCCATCCACCCCAAGACACCGACAACTTGTGATCCCTCTCCCATTCGCCCTCTCCTCCCCCCTTCCCCACCACCAGTACACCAACATCTCCTTGATCCGCACCAATGCCATGAAGTACCTTCCCAACTATTTTCACAAGGCACAGGTGGGAGGGAGGGAGGGGCACACGGCACAGGTGGGTGGGAGGGAGGGGCACACGGCACAGGTGGGTGGGAGGGAGGGGCATGCACGCACGAGGCACAGGCGGGCACTAACGCCATGAAATACTCCAACACGGCCCACGTGGGTGGGTGGGTGGGTGGGTGGGTGGGTACACGTGTTGCACTGCACTGAGGCGTGTGCACTCACTGACCACTCGTTGACAGGCAGATGACAATATCTCCCACCTCGCCGTCTTGTCTCCTTTTGCCTTACCATCCCCGCCCTCCTCACCCGTCTTCTTCCTCGCCCCTCCTCCTCTCCCTCCCCCACTCCATCCCCACATCCTTTCATTCCTCATCGTTACAGGGATTTTTTTAGAATTCTAAATAAAGCACCCTCTTCCCTGCTTCTATCGTGCAGCTGACCAAGATGTTCTTCCTCTTCCCCGACCCGCACTTCATTGTCTTGTGTGTCCTTTCATCTCAACCTTCCCCCCCCCCCTTTTCAGCTGACCAAGATGTTCTTCCTCTTCCCCGACCCGCACTTCAAGGAGAAGAACCACCGCCGCAGAATCATCACGTGAGGCTCTGCAAGTAGACACAAAACAGCACAACCCATGACACGGCTGTGTCCATCTGCTGCTTTCTGACTGCTGCATTCATCTCCCCCAGGGGCTTTCACGACAGCCATGGCGGCATTCATTGGCTGTATGTGGCCGCCCCATCTCCTCCCTTTCTCCCGCCATGCACATCCGCTGCTTGCCTGTGCTGCGCGCACTCATGCATGCTTGCACGTGCCATGCACAACCGCCATGTGCCTGTGCTGTGTGCTGTGCAGGCACGTAGGGCCACCGCTGATGATGCATGCCGCCATCCGCCTGGTTGACCCCTTGTAGCAGCATGTTTGTACGGCTGTGTGCATGGCTGCGTTACGCCATGATTGTGCACCTATACATGCCATGCCATGCCATGCCATGCCATGCCCCACTTGATGCGCCCTCCCTTGCATCATCACTTTCTGTCTGCATGTCTCATTGCAGGACTGCTCTGTTGGCGGAGTATGCCTATGTGCTGGCTCCAGGAGGTGAGTGACTATGGCAGGAGGTGAGTGACTATAGCAGGAGGTGAGTGACTATGGCAGGAGGTGAGTGACTATGGCAGGAGGTGCGTGACTATGGCAGGAGGTGAGTGACTATGGCAGGAGGTGCTTCTATTCTAGCGGTATTAGGGCCTGGAATCCTGCCTGTAAGTCAGCTTGTGAGTCTTCTCAAATCAGAAGCCATTGTTAAAGGGGCCCTACACGCATCACTTGCATCCATCCACGCTTTCCTCTGCTCTACCTGTGCTGATCCCCCCTCTCCCTCTATCTGTCCCCAACCATCAACCGTTTTTTTTTAGAATAAGAAAGAAACCATCAACCCGACACATGGAACTCATCCTCTTTTGAGTCGACTAAAAAAAACCGTCGATCCGACACGTGCAACTCATCTTTCGCCATGCGGGCCGCTTCGGGTGCCGGTAGCTTCAATCCCCTCCCCCTCCCTCCTCCACCGATCCGTTCCCAACCAACCCCCCTTCCCCACGCATCCACCTTGTGTGCGCGCAAGCAGGCCTGCTCCACAGCAACTCGGACGCGAGTTTTGAGTCAACTCAAAACTCACCTCGGTCCCAACCCAACCCAGCACCCTCCCAACCCTTGTGTACGCGAGCAGGCATCCTGTACAGCATCACGGATGTGGAGGAGCTGGGCACGTGGATGGACGTTTGAGTCGACTCACAAGTCACCTCTATACCACCCCCTGCCCCCACCCCCTTCTCCCCCTCTGTGCATGCGAGCAGGCATACTGTACAGCATCACGGACGTGGAGGAGCTGGGTGTGTGGATGGACGACCACCTGGCTGCACACCCACTCTTCCGCAAGCTCACTCCCGCCCAGACGGTGAGCTCACTGCCGCCCAGATGGTGAGCTCACTGCCGCCCAGATGGTGAGCTCACTGCCGCCCAGATGGTGAGCTCACTGCCGTTCAGATGGTGAGCTCACTGCCGCCCAGATGGTGAGCTCACTGCCGCCCAGATGGTGAGCTCACTGCCGCCCAGATGGTGAGCTGTCGGTCTTGGCACAGATAAGGAGAGGAGAGCGTCGCAGGGAGGCGTGGGGAGTGCTGTACTCATAGTTCGCTCCACTGTCATTCTGATAGCCCCGTTGTTTGCCCATTCCTCGGGATTTCAAATAGCATCGCACGTGTGCAATTGACATTTGTGAGTGATAAAATGGATTTGAGAGGAGCTGCACCCACAGCTTCATGTGTCTCTGGTCGGGAGAGTGCATGTTCTCAAATCCCATGTGTGACGGGTTTTTCTCCTGTGGCGTTTTGCACCGCGCCTGCCGCCGGTGTTGCTTATTGCACCCCTCTGTGGAATGGCCGCTGTTCACCCACATGGATTGCATGAGAAATGCGAATCCTCTGTGTGTGTCTCTGGGATGGTGTGTGTCTCTTGGATGGTGTGTGTCTCTGGGATGGTGTGTGTCTCTGGGATGGTGTGTGTCTCTGGGATGGTGTGTGTCTCTGGGTTGCTTGCTGTACTCTGTGCATGGGTGCTGTTCGTGGTTGCATGGGCGTGCATGTGTGTGCATGGGAATCACAGGAGACGGACCCGGTCATTCCGCTGCTCTCCACGTCGTCAGAAGAAGGCCTCAAGGTCAGCGGTGTGCAAGCTTACCTCACAGCATGTAGAGCTAAGGGTAGAGCAGTGAATGCAGTGAATGCAGTGAATGCAGTCAGTGCAGTCAGTGCAGTCAGTGCAGTCAGTGCAGTCAGTGCAGTCAGTGCAGTCAGGGTGTGCAGTCAGGCAGTCTTGCAGTCAGTGCAGTCAGTGCAGTCAGTGCAGTCAGTGCAGTCAGTGCAGTCAGTGCAGTCAGTGCAGTCAGTGCCAGTCAGTGCAGTCAGTGCAGTCAGTGCAGTCAGTGCAGTCAGTGAGTCATGTGCAGTCAGTGCAGTCAGTGCAGTCAGTGCAGTCAGTGCAGTCAGTGCAGTCAGTGCAGTCAGTGCAGGTCAGTGCAGTCAGTGCAGTCAGTGCAGTCAGTGCAGTCAGTGCAGTCCAGTGGCAGTCAGTGCAGTCAGTGCAGTCAGTGCAGTCAGTGCAGTCAGTGCGCAGTGCAGTCAGTGCAGTCAGTGCAGTCAGTGCAGTCAGTGCAGTCAGTGCAGCAGTGCAGTCAGTGCAGTCAGTGCAGTCAGGCAGTCCGTGCAGTCAGTGCAGTCAGTGCAGTCAGTGCAGTCAGTGCAGGTCAGTGCAGTCCAGTGCAGTCAGTGCAGTCAGTGCAGTCAGTGCAGTCAGTGCAGTCAGTGCAGTCAGTGCAGTCAGTGCAGTCAGTGCAGTCAGTGCAGTCAGTGCAGTCAGTGCAGTCAGTGCAGTCAGTGCAGTCAGTGCAGTCAGTGCAGTCAGTGCAGTCAGTGCAGTCAGTGCAGTCAGTGCAGTCAGTGCAGTCAGTGCAGTCAGTGCAGTCAGTGCAGTCAGTGCAGTCAGTGCAGTCAGTGCAGTCAGTGCAGTCAGTGCAGTCAGTGCAGTCAGTGCAGTCAGTGCAGTCAGTGCAGTCAGTGCAGTCAGTGCAGTCAGTGCAGTCAGTGCAGTCAGTGCAGTCAGTGCAGTCAGTGCAGTCAGTGCAGTCAGTGCAGTCAGTGCAGTCAGTGCAGTCAGTGCAGTCAGTGCAGTCAGTGCAGTCAGTGCAGTCAGTGCAGTCAGTGCAGTCAGTGCAGTCAGTGCAGTCAGTGCAGTCAGTGCAGTCAGTGCAGTCAGTGCAGTCAGTGCAGTCAGTGCAGTCAGTGCAGTCAGTGCAGTCAGTGCAGTCAGTGCAGTCAGTGCAGTCAGTGCAGTCAGTGCAGTCAGTGCAGTCAGTGCAGTCAGTGCAGTCAGTGCAGTCAGTGCAGTCAGTGCAGTCAGTGCAGTCAGTGCAGTCAGTGCAGTCAGTGCAGTCAGTGCAGTCAGTGCAGTCAGTGCAGTCAGTGCAGTCAGTGCAGTCAGTGCAGTCAGTGCAGTCAGTGCAGTCAGTGCAGTCAGTGCAGTCAGTGCAGTCAGTGCAGTCAGTGCAGTCAGTGCAGTCAGTGCAGTCAGTGCAGTCAGTGCAGTCAGTGCAGTCAGTGCAAGTCAGTGCAGTCAGTGCAGTCAGTGCAGTCAGTGCAGTCAGTGCAGTCAGTGCAGTCAGTGCAGTCAGTGCAGCTCAGTGCAGTCAGTGCAGTCAGTGCAGTCAGTGCAGTCAGTGCAGTCAGTGCAGTCAGTGCAGGTCAGTGCAGTCAGTGCAGTCAGTGCAGTCAGTGCAGTCAGTGCAGTCAGTGCAGTCAGTGCAGTCAGTGCAGTCAGTGCAGTCAGTGCAGTCAGTGCAGTCAGTGCAGTCAGTGCAGTCAGTGCAGTCAGTGCAGTCAGTGCAGTCAGTGCAGTCAGTGCAGTCAGTGCAGTCAGTGCAGTCAGTGCAGTCAGTGCAGTCAGTGCAGTCAGTGCAGTCAGTGCAGTCAGTGCAGGTCAGTGCAGTCAGTGCAGTCAGTGCAGTCAGTGCAGTCAGTGGCAGTCAGTGCAGTCAGTGCAGTCAGTGCAGTCAGTGCAGTCAGTGCAGTCAGTGCAGTCAGTGCAGTCAGTGCAGTCAGTGCAGTCAGTGCAGTCAGTGCAGTCAGTGCAGTCAGTGCAGTCAGTGCAGTCAGTGCAGTCAGTGCAGTCAGTGCAGTCAGTGCAGTCAGTGCAGTCAGTGCAGTCAGTGCAGTCAGTGCAGTCAGTGCAGTCAGTGCAGTCAGTGCAGTCAGTGCAGTCAGTGCAGTCAGTGCAGTCAGTGCAGTCAGTGCAGTCAGTGCAGTCAGTGCAGTCAGTGCAGTCAGTGCAGTCAGTGCAGTCAGTGCAGGTCAGTGCAGTCAGTGCAGTCAGTCAGTCAGTGCAGTCAGTTGCAGTCAGTGCAGTCAGTGCAGTCAGTGCAGTCAGTGCAGTCAGTGCAGTCAGTGCAGCAGTGCAGTCAGTGCGTCAGGCAGTCAGTGCAGTCAGTGCAGTCAGTGCAGTCAGTGCAGTCAGTGCAGTCAGTGCAGTCAGTGCAGTCAGTGCAGTCAGTGCAGTCAGTGCAGTCAGTTGCAGTCAGTGCAGTCAGTGCAGTCAGTGCAGTCAGTGCAGTCAGTGCAGTCAGTGCAGTCAGTGCAGTCAGTGCAGTCAGTGCAGTCAGTGCAGTCAGTGCAGTCAGTGCAGTCAGTGCAGTCAGTGCAGTCAGTGCAGTCAGTGCAGTCAGTGCAGTCAGTGCAGTCAGTGCAAGTCAGTGCAGTCAGTGCAGTCAGTGCAGTCAGTGCAGTCAGTGCAGTCAGTGCAGTCAGTGCAGTCAGTGCAGTCAGTGCAGTCAGTGCAGTCAGTGCAGTCAGTGCAGTCAGTGCAGTCAGTGCAGTCAGTGCAGTCAGTGCAGTCAGTGCAGTCAGTGCAGTCAGTGCAGTCAGTGCAGTCAGTGCAGTCAGTGCAGTCAGTGCAGTCAGTGCAGTCAGTGCAGTCAGTGCAGTCAGTGCAGGTCAGTGCAGTCAGTGCAGTCAGTGCAGTCAGTGCAGTCAGTGCAGTCAGTGCAGTCAGTGCAGTCAGTGCAGTCAGTGCAGTCAGTGCAGTCAGTGCAGTCAGTGCAGTCAGTGCAGTCAATATATGCCTCCTTTCCTTCCTGTGGCAGTGTCTGCGATTTGCTATGCATCATGATAAAACGACATAGGCTTGTTGGTGATTTATTGGGAGATAGTTCCTCGTCGCAAGTGAATGCTCCAACCATGTTTGTTATGACAGGAACTGCAATCCCCTCACCCCATGCCTCTCACCCCCATGTCCCTCACCCCATGCCCCTCACCCCCATGCCCCTCACCCCCATTGCCCCTCACCCCATGCCCCTCACCCCATGTCCCTCACCCCATGCCCCTCACCCCATGCCCCTCACCCCATGCCCCTCACCCCATGCCCCTCACCCCATGCCCCTCACCCCATGCTCCTCACCCCATGCCCCTCACCCCATGCCCCTCACCCCATGCCCCTCACCCCATGCCCCTCACCCCATGCCCCTCACCCCATGCCCCTCACCCCATGCCCCTCACCCCATGCCCCTCACCCCATGCCCCTCACCCCATGCCCCTCACCCCATGCCCCTCACCCCATGCCCCTCACCCCATGCCCCTCACCCCATGCCCCTCACCCCATGCCCCTCACCCCATGCCCCTCACCCCATGCCCCTCACCCCATGCGCCTCACCCCGTGTGCCTCACCCCATGTGCCTCGCCCTATGTCCCTCACCGCGAGCCTCTCACCCCATGCCCCTCACCCCATGCCCCTCACCCCGTGTGCCTCACCCCGTGTGCCTCACCCCGTGCGCCTCGCCCTATGTCCCTCACCGCGAGCCTCTCACCTGTCACCCTCGTGTGCACTTCCATTGCCCCTGCTGGTCACGGTGGTCCGCCACACTCCCTGCAGGTGCAAAGAAACGGTGGGCGCACGTTTCTGGCGGTGTACGAGCGGGTTGCTGCGCCTGCAAGCAACAACACATGAGGGTTGTACTCGCCTAGGCACCTCAAATGCAGGTCGTTGTGGCTGCAACCAAGAAACCATGGCATTGGCAATATTAGGGGCTTTCATGGCTCATGGATTGAATTGCTGAAGGACCTGCTCTTTTGAGGGTGCTCTGCTCTTGGCTGTAATGGAAGGAAGTGCAGGCATATAGAATTTGTGCATCTAATGTACTGGTAAGAAAAAAGACAAACAAAAAGACAATGATGGTGTATAGTGTCAACAGGACAAGCCTTCTGCCACGGAGGAGCCACTTGACAAATGCACATGGTTGGGGGAACTCCCTTACCATTATCCCTCCACACCACGTCCATGTTCAAACTGTGTGAACAGTGCCATACAACACTGCTGGAACACCACAGTTGCCCTGACATGACACACCCATTGAGACCCTGGGGTCTTTTATGTGGGAAATTTACTTAAAGCCAACAGCTAAAATAGTGACCCCCCCCCCTTCTAGTTGGGTCCACTTGAAAACAGAAGTTTTTTTGGGACGTCTCGGAAAGTTGGAAGTGCTGTACGTTTTTTTTTTTTCACTCCAGACAAGTCTCGATATGAACGGGGAACATTTGGAACCTGTTTACATTTCTGATAGGCGGCGAAACTCACACACAACTCACACACATACATGTGCGAATTTGGCGCAAGGTTGCAAGGCCTGTACTCACTCGAGCAGTCATCGTAACTTCACCAAAACTCACAACAATCAACAGCACAGGCACAACTCAGCGCACACACATATGCACGATCTGGGAGTGAAACGCAACGTGATGATTGCGCGAGGCTTGGAAACACAATGCGCTAATACAAGATGTATTACGCAGAAGTGCGAAGTTCATGACTACGCGCCTAGTCGGAAATTGTCGAGGTCCTAAGCTACTCAATGTTAGGCAGAAAGCTGGAATGATTAGTTCTCACTCTGCTATGTGAATAAACTAGTGACTAGAGGAAGTGGGTGATGAACCCAGGACCAGCTTGAAATTGGAGTTGGGCCTGGCGACGGAAAAGCATCGCCAGGGAACGGTCGTGCGGATGCAGCACGCACGTATGCGACAGCTGATATGAACCTCGAAAATCGTTTTGGCGGGAGCCAATTTTTTTCAGATTGGTGTGAGCCAATCAGATTACTTCAACCTGCCTAACCGTTTTGTTTGGAACAGTGTTGTATCAGCCGAACTCATCGCAGCGATTTCAAGGTGGGACGGCCTTCACTATTTTATATTTCGGTTTTAAGGTAATGTATAATGAATTTTAAGATTTGACCTCTAATAAGGTACTGTATAATGAATTTTAAGATTTGACCTCTCGAAATAATCCTAGGACTTCATCCCATCCCAGCAATTCTCTGGCTTAATAAACAATATGGTTGCATCAGCAGCTACAACTGCACCACGAGCAGAGCCAGCACCACTGCCACTGCTGTGCCGCAGCAATTCTCTGTCTCCACTCGCTCTGCTAGATTTGGAGCTCGTGCCCTCTCTACACGTGCACCAGTGAGCGCCACCAGTGACCACCACCAGTGAGCACCACCAGTGAGCGCCACCATCACCACCATAGCACACTAAAAGCTAGCAGCAGCACCGTCAGTGCCCGAGCAGCACACCACCCCAGCATTCTCATTCTCCCCTCCCCTGCCCTCATTCACAGCGCATGCATCCCCACATCGATGCGCACCATCGCCCAACCGATCAACGTAAAACCGTGCCAACATTTTGCCAGAATCTCGCCAGCATGCCTGCATGATCAGCACCAATAAGAGTCACCATTTCCCGCACCACCAACACTGGCCTTATCACCTCTCCCTTCCTTTAGGATCTGCTGCTGCTGCCGCGGCACATTCTGCTGTTGCTGTTGCTGCACCCCCTACTTCTGCTTCTGATAAACCCTACAGCTAGCATTGCCCATCCCCTGCTTTCATAGCAGCTCGTGCCAGTTCCACGTCCTCAGCGGAGAATAGAACCCCTCCGCACCCACTTCCATGATCACATCACAGCCCTCTTTGCGATAGTCGGCGTTGGATGAATCAACATTGCCTCAGTCCATGCACCCTCCGCTGCTTCCCCTGTTGCTGTTTCTGCTGCTGTCTATGCTGCAGCTGCTGTTGCACCCCCTACTTCTGCTTCTGATAAACCCTACAGCTAGCATTGCCCGTCCGCTGCCTACTTAGCAGCGCTGGCCCGTTCCACATGCTCAGCTGAGAACGGAAACCCCTCCGCGCCCACTTCCATGATCACATCGCGTCCATCCCTCGTGATGGTCGGTGTTGGGTGCCTCAACATCGCCTCGTTCCATGCACCCTCCGCTGCTGCCTCTGCTGCGGTAGCTGCTGCGGAGTTATCGAGGAACACTATAGAGGGGATGGCTTTGGACGAAAACCTTTCTACTAGCGCGTCTCTGGTCGCCTTATCCGCGAACGGCACGGCCAGCCACGGCACCCCTTTCACCGATTCGAGAAACTCCCGCTCGTTAGTGTCACACGAGACATAAACCACCTCCAGAGCGTGCTTCCCGTGTTTCTCGCTGATCCCGTGATACGCGGACGTCAGTCGCTGCAGCAACGGCTCGCACGGGGGGCACCAAGCCGCGCCGAAATAAAGCCCCACCACGCGCTTCCCCGCCAGGCTATCCGCGATTCGTTCCTTAGCCAGCTCCGCATCCAACGGCTCTCCTGACTCGCCGCCACCGCCACCTACACCGCCGCCGCCTCGTAGCAGCCAATCGCGATCGTTCGTCGCGAGAAGCGCGCCGAGCTGCTGCTCCTTCGCGTCGCGATCGGCTTTCGCCGCCTCCAGCTCCGCGATTCGCGCCGGAGTGAACGGCCACGCGTCGCTGCCGTACGCTTCTAGAACCTCCGCGCCGCGCCTTAATAACGGGCAGCCCGTGCTGTCGAACAACGCGAGCCCGTCCGCCGACGACGTGACTATATCGAGCGCCACGGAGAGCGTCTGCGCGGCCTCGGTAAGAACTCCTTCAAGCGACTCGACATCTGACGGCACGCACGGCACCGCGATCCACGGCGGCTGCGATGGAATCGCGGGACCCGTGGGGCCGTTGGGGAGCCTCTCTTTCGCCGCGAGCTTTAAGAGCGACTGCTGCACCTCTTTCTCCTCCACGTCTGATTGGACCAGCACCACCACTTGCAGCTTCCGCTCCGCTCCGCCGCTTCCCCCCGCGCCACTCGCTTCCGCCTCCGCCAAACCGCGGCAAACCTCTGCGAGCTTCTGCACCTTGGGCACGGCGTTCTGATCTGAAGGTGGCGTTCTCCAAACCGTGTTAGATGCAACCAACATGGTTTTCTGCCGCTTCAGTCTTGTGATGTCGTGCAGAGCAGAAACCCGGATGATTACCACTGCGTGCCATCCCAAGCCCCACCCCCCGTGCCATATATACCGCACGTGCCCCCTTGCCCCACATGTCCCATGTGCCCGACGCGGCCCAGCAGCCCATGGCGGGCCACAGGGCAACAATGGGCATGCGCACGATGCCCACATGCCCAGAGACCCACATGCCTAGATGCCTAGATGCTACTCCAGGAGCCGCGCAAGGCAGAGATGGGAGTGGGCTCCTCGGGGTTACAGGGGTCGGGCGGGGGAATGAACATGTCAAGAGGGCGCAGGGCATAGAGCGCCGCCGTGCGGGAGAAGCCCGAGGCGGGGATGATGAAGGTGTGGCACGACGCCACGAGCGCCCACTCCGCCACCGTCTCGCGGAAGTGCTGCAGGCCTCGCAGCGCCGCCTCACGCTCCTCCGGCGAGGTGAGGTCTGTGTTCTCGTGCTCCGTGGCTCGGTCCGAGTGCCATGGGATGAAGTCTGTCGCTACCACCTGGCAGCGCACCATGTGCCCCGTGCCCGCACATGGCATGGCATGCACGCAATGCGGCACATGCAGGGGAGAGGCGTGGCGCATGAGAGAAAGGGGAGGGACGAGGCAGGGCAAGAGGAAGCAAGGAAATTGAGTGGGCGAAAGGAAGGGAACATATGTGAAGAGAGGACGGTATGGGAGGAAAGAGAAACGGGGAGGCAGGTGGAAAGGATGGGTGGGGACGGGATGGAGCATGAGCGAGGGTGGGGGTGGTTACATACCTTATGTGGGTACTTGGCTTTGAGCACTTGCTTGAGCGGATGCGAGTTGGTGATGAGAATCCACTTCACCTGCAGGGGCGGCGGGTACCAGAAATCCTCCACTGTCTGCCACGAGGGGTCTGGGGAGGTTGGGGAAAGGAACGGGGAGGAGAGCACAGTGAAACCTTCAGTGGCAAAAACATGCAGAGAAGAAGTGTCACCATACATATTCTTGAAACCCCACTCCTGCTGCCCTCCCCTTCCTCTCCCATTCCCTCCTGCCCCCCCACAACCGCAACCCTTGTGCGACTTGACCCGAACCATTGCCCGCCCAACACAACACCCCATCCCCACGAAATGCCAACGCACGGGCGAACAACACAGCTCATCCCCATGGCATGCCAAAGCACAGCGGAACGGCACACGCGAAATCAGGACGCCCCCCCCTGGCGGCACGTGCCTGTGTGCATCCAGCTGCTGCTGCGACGCGTCCAAGAGCATGTCCCCAAACGTGTGCCACCCCATTTCGTCCCGCACACACCATTTCGTCCCGCAGACACCATTTCGTCCGGCACCCACAACGCCTTCCTGGCCTCACCTGAGCGCACTGCAGCGTGCTCTTGGCCTCGGCCAGCAGCTCCTCCAGCTGCTGCTGCAACGCATTCAGTGGCGTGCCCTCAAACATGTGCCACACCGTGCAGTCCGGCACAAAACCCCCCCATGGCATGCGCACACTGAGAACTCCCACTTCCCCCTTTGAAACCCACCTGAGCGTACTGCTGTTGGCGTCGGCCAGAAGCTCATCCAGCTGCTGCTGTGACGTGTCCAGGGGTGCGCCCTCAAAGTGCCACACGGTGCCATCCGGCACACGCAAGTGCAAGCACACGCCTCACCTGAGCGCACTGCAGCGTGCTGTTGGCGTCGGCCAGCAGCTCCTCCAGCTGCTGCTGTGACGTGTCCAGGGGCGCGCCCTCAAAGTGCCACACGGTCTGGTCCGGCACGCGCAGGTGCACTGCCACCCGCACCACGCCCTCGCCCCACACCTGCTACTCCATCCCCGCCACCAGCTGCCACACCTCAGGCCGCGGACTGGGGATGGAGGGGATGGAAGAGATGAAAGGAAAAGGCGCCAACAATGGGTGGACGGGACGGCTGACGAATGGATACCAATCGCACCGTGCCTCGCACTCTCAGCATGCATGCACCACGGCCTCGCCCCACACGTGCTCCTCTTTCCCCGCCACCAGCTGCCACACCTCGGGCCGCGGACTGGGGTCAGGCGAGAGGGAAAGAGAAGGAGAGGGACAGTGCGGGAGGGGAAGGAGGAGATGCAAGAGAGGAATGGAAGAGGAAGGGGTAACAGTGGTGGAGGTGACGGATGGATACCACTCACACCGTGCCTCAAACCCTCAGCATACACACACGACTGTAGCGTGTGATGCAGTTCAGGACACAGCCATGAGCGAGTGGGTGTCACGCATGGCACAGTCATGAGCGAGTGGGTGTCACGCATGGCACAGCCATGAGCGTGTGGGCGTCACGCATGGCACAGCAGTGAGCGAGTGGGTGTGGCGCAGGGCACAGCAGTGAGCAAGTGGGTGTGTCTCGCACAAGGCACGTGAGTCAGACGGACCTGAAGAGGAATCTGAGGATGCATCCGAACCCGTACGCGATTTTGAACCCCAGCCGCCTCAGCGCGGCAGCCCAGGGCCCGTCGTCCAGCAGCAGCGTGGAGATGAGCAGCCCGTGGTTGTACCGCATGCGGTAGTTGCACAGCCTGCTGTGCCACTGCAGGTCCCCAATCGCAAACGTCTGCCCCACCATGTTGAAGCACGGCACTGCACTGCTGTCCGCCACGTCAGCGCTCAGGTTCCCCTCCAGCCGCTCGCACGGCGGCGCGTGCCACTCCACCCGGGGACCGTTCTCGCCGCCCTCGCCCTCACCGTCGCTGTCGCCAGCGCTGGCGCTAGCGATGGCGTCCGCGCTGCTGAGGGCGTCCAGGGGCGTGGCGCGCAGCAGCGGGTGGCCACCCATGGGCACGTCGGGGGAGAGCGCGGTGTCGATGTGTGGCGAGCGGAACGCGGCGTGCATGCAGGGCTGCGCCACGAGCAGCGCGCGGCGGTCGAGCAGCGCGGCGGGGAAGATGGAGACGAGCCCGATGAGGTAGTCACCGATTCCCCCGCACGTGCCGTACCAGTCGTACGTCAGAAACCGCACTGCCGGCGACGCGTCAGGTGCTGCGGAGTCGTCCGCTGCTGCAGGCTCCGCGGGCTTGTCGATGTCGGGGGGGTAGTGGTCCGCCAGGCGCCTGCGCGACGTGGCGGCGGGCTGTGGCGGCGGCGCGGAGGCAAGCGGCGGCGATTCGTGTGATGCGGCGGGCGCTGGCGCTGGCGAAGGCGAAGGCGAAGGCGAAGGCGCCGGAGATGGAGCATCTGCACAGGGCAGCGGGGAGCAGAGGGCGGAGCAGTGCGTAGGTGCACACGCATCCACCCGCAGGTGCTTGCGCCCTGCCTTCCCCTTACTGTCCGCGCAACCACGCGTCTGCCCCTCCGTTTCTCTCACTACTAACAGTCACCCACTACTAGTTAGAACCCGCATCGTCACGCGCTCCGGCCCACCGCCGCCCCACGCTACCTGGTGGCTGTCGCGCGCGCCACGCGTCGCGGCTGGCGGCTCTGATGCGCGCGTGCAGCTGCACGTACTCGTCGCGCCACGCCACCCCGCACACATGCTCCGGGTACTCGAACCCCGCCAGGATCGACCCTGGCCGCGCCGCTCCGCGCTGCGCGCTGCATGCCTGCGCGCGGAAGGGCACGGAGGGGCCGCATGGTGAGTGGGGGAGGGTGGGACGGAGGGAGTGGACGAGCCGCGTCGTGAACTCACCGCGCGACGCCGCTTTGAGGTGGGATTTCACGGGCAATGGTTAGGGGGCGCGGCGGGGAGGGTGGGAGAATGTCACGAAACTGCCCTTACAGCGAGGCATGCTGCGACGAGGACGAGACGGAAGCAACGAGCTACGCAACACGGAGAGCAGCGGGTGAGGTGACGGCGGCGAGAGTGGTTTGAACGGCGCATGACTCGGAGTACGCGCAGCATGATGGCATCGATTCGTCGAGGGGGGAAGAGATTACCAGGAGCATGCGTGCACGGCGCGCGGCATTGCTTGCGGTTTTCAGATTGTTCAACTGCTTGACCTCTGCGTTGCCGTCTAACGATCTTCTGTACACCCTCTTTCTCGCCATTGTGAATTCGGTTACAATGAAGTCAAGATGGGAAAAGCACGGTTAACGGTGGTTAAATTACGTTTCAGTATGGTTCAATTAGGCAAACCGAAGATAACAAGGTTTTCCACCCGTTCGGCACAGTTCAGTGTAGCGAGAAACAGGGTGTACAACCCATTTTGCGCCGTTACCACTCGTCCGTATCTGGCACGCTGATCTTGGTTTATTCAAAATAGGACCATACCGAATCAGATCTACTAACGGGGTGCTTTAGGGAGGGTGCTTGACCCTCACCTGGGAGTTGAGTGCTTACAAAGCATGACATAATTGCTCTCTATAGACCACCGCGGTGCTAAGACTGTCATTTTTCAAATGTGGTGCATATACAGACACGTTCAACTACCTGACATCATACCCAACAAGAGACGTCGACATAAGACGAATCTTTTGATCATCTTCAATATTAGGCCTATATTGTTTTTTTCATCTGAATCTGACAGCACATGCTTTGGTTTCATCTAAGCGACTAAACAGACAAACGTATCCATTTATAGTTAGTCAATGTAATATGGGAGGCTAGATTCAGGTGCAATATATACATGATTGCATGGTATTATCGTTAGGGTATATCGTGGCCTACACCACGCCTACCCTCACGTGTGCCCTCTCGACCCTTTTTCCTAGCGCGCCCTTTTGTGGCCCCTCCCATCACGACCCCCTGGCGCCTCATCCGCGCCCCTCCTGACCCTCTCTCCCCTCCCCACCCCTTTCCGTCCCCATCGCGCCCCTCTCGTCGAGCTTAGTCGCGCCTGCCCGCTTGCGACTGCTGTGCCTGCAACTGCCGCGCCCATTGCTGCCGCGCCTACAGCTACCGCGCCCACTACCGCTGATTTAGCACCAGCTGCGCCAGCGCTAGCTGCACTAGCGTCAGTAGCATCCGCACCAGCTGCGCTAACAAATCCAGCCGTGCTAACAAATCCAGCCGTGCAAGCACTAGTAGGCCTAGCCGACAGCGGAACCATCGCGTCCGCCAGTGCCAGCCCGCGACCGCCGTCCGCGCCAACCACGCCAGCTGCACCAGCCTGAGCTATCCAGCTCACCACTTGTGCAAGCCACTAGCCAGCCTGCGCTAGTAGCACCAATCGCGCCAGCTGCGCCAGTCGCGCTAGCCGTGCCAGCCCGCACCAGCAGCACTAGCGAGTCGGCCGCGTCAACTGCGCACAAGTCCCGCGTGTGCCTGGCCGCCAGCCCCCATTGCTAGTGCCGCCTGCACCTACTGCGCCGCTGTCGCACGTGTCTGCCATTCCTGCAATTGCGCCCATCACTCCCACTCCTGCAGCCCTAACGCCCCCCTCCTTGCTGCCTGCCGTCTCCTCCGCCTGCGGCAGTCTCCTCTCTTCGACTGCACATGTGCACCTTCCGTCATGACGTTTGAAATTGTCATGCGAATTGATGTGGAGGGATAGGCAGATTTGCAGCGTGGCTCCTTAATGCCAAGCTGTACATGCTGAGCCAACGTTAGGGTCCTTGACTCAGCTCTGTTGGGCAGAGGGCATCCGCGAGATGTACATAATCCCAGAATAGTCGTAGTAAACTAGGGTTGCTGAGCGTTGCATTGGCTTGGCCACATAGATCGCCCGTACCTCCATGGTCCATGCCATTTCCCCCCCCCCTTTTCAATGGCCATACCGACTCTCGTCTTGATTAGGTCCCTTGTGCTGCGCCTACGTTTTGCGTCTGGGGCAGTCTTGCACTGGATCTAAGGAGGGAAGGACACAGTGAAGCTAGGTGGACGGCGGAGCCAGATCTGCTCATGCAGGATGCCCTAGGTAAAGTCAAGTGAGTGGAGCCTATAGTTGCGTCGCGCCGCGATACACAGCAACACTCAAAGGTATGAAAGAAGTCTGCACCCTCTCGCCGACTAAAGCCTCTTGCCACATAACCTACCTTGAAGACAGGCGGGGATCCAGATGGCCAATTCACATTGAAGATCCACATGCCATTAAAAAATTTCGCTCTAGGAGGGGGAACATTTTCGACGTAGGTGCATGTGGACCTCCAAGATGCCATCTCTACGTCCATGACCACTATCCACTGAGGGGCTTAGGTTCCCGAAACTGCCTCAGTGCAGGTGCGAAGAGTCGGGATGTCAAAAGCGTCTGGGTCACCCTCACCGGTTTTCAGCATGGCATAGAGATGAGGAGCAGCGGCCGCAAGGAAAGCCAGATCGAACTACATGTCCTCTAGGACGTCATTGTCAAGGACAGGAGCACCTGTGATGTACGGAGGATTGGTAGGGTCAGAGACCAGCTCAATGGTGTAGTCAAGGTGGTGGGTGGAGGCAAAGTCGGTGACAACTGCAACTAGAGCAACGACAGATGACTGAGGGGCTATGGGTCCATGACCTGGGAGGATAGGACATGGGGTGAAAGCCTGGAATAGAAGATGAGGGATAAGAACTAGGGGGACAATAAGTGAAGGGCTAAGAGATAAGGGAAGGAGAGGGGGAGACAAATGTGAACAAGAAAGAAAGCGATCTAGAAACAAGCCCAAGGGAGGCAGTGGTGGGGAGGAGGGAGTCTCACTGTCAATGGACAGACAAGGAAGACCGAGTACATAAGGGAGGGGCAGCTGCTGCTGTAGTCTTGTCAAACATTACGGGCCAACTGCACCTCCAAGTCGCCTTGTTGCAGCACTCGCATGCCGACTTGCTACAACACTAGCAAGCTGCCTTCATGCTACGTTGGTAGGCCGCCTTGCTAGGTTGCTAGTGCGTTGCGATGCATTCCTTGCTACATCAACTTCCATGGGTTTGTAAACTCGTTGTTCTAGCTTTTCCTTGTGAAACTCTTGTAAACTTTACCTACAAGCTTGCACAAGTATTGCGCAATGCTGCAATGGCCCCGTAAAATCAATAACCTCCCACATAATAATACCCTTTGTACATTGACTCTCCGCAGTGATCTGTAATGTAGACGCCGCAGGGCCAATGTGGAATATCAAACCAACAAGACGCGTAATTCTCGTGCCCTCAGGGTTGGTCTTTTC